TTTTTTGTCCAAAAAACTATCAAAACAATGTTTTACGCTACCAAATAATATTATATTATTTAAAATAGGATCTGCTGCAAATTATGAACTCAAATATGTAACAAAACATTGCATAATAAAAAAGTTATAAAATCTTAAACTCTAAAAATGTTGGTATTTTCATACACTTTTTTGCTACATCAATTGTTTTACGGAAGTAAAACACCAACTTCCGGTTCTTGTACACCAAAAATCTTTTAATATTATTTGGTGCATTATGTTGAGATACGATAGTGAAAATTTCAGAAAATTTGAGAACCGGTAAATTTGTCATATAAATGTCGCAACAATGTCAAAATAAATCTTTGGTCATACAACATATTATCCTTAAGATGACACATTTAACGGCTACCGATTTTTTCGAAATTTCTGCTATCGTCAGTCAGCATAATGTGCCAAATAATATTCAAAGTATGTTGGTGTACAAAAACCGGAAATATGTCTATCACTTCCGTAAAGATGCGAAACAACTAAAAATGTACATAACATCCTAAACTTTTATGTGTGTGAGACTGCATAACTTTTTTTTATTTTGCAGCATCTAGCTTTATAGTTGGGCTTATCATGAGCAGCAGACCCTATTGATGAAAATTTGATCAGTTGCGATAATAAATTGGTGCGACCTATTGTTAAATTATCAAACATGACTATAGGTCATAAGGTTGTTGGATTTTATTTGGAAATAGACGTTGCTACAATTTGACATTTATATGACAAATTTACCGGTTCTCAAATTTTCTGAAATTTTCACTATCGTATCTCAACATAATGCACCAAATAATATTAAAAGATTTTTGGTGTACAAGAACCGGAAGTTGGTGTTTTACTTCCGTAAAACAATTGATGTAGCAAAAAAGTGTATGAAAATACCAACATTTTTAGAGTTTAAGATTTTATAACTTTTTTATTATGCAATGTTTTGTTACATATTTGAGTTCATAATTTGCAGCAGATCCTATTTTAAATAATATAATATTATTTGGTAGCGTAAAACATTGTTTTGATAGTTTTTTGGACAAAAAATGGAACCCTGTCGTACACCTTTGGAAGGCGGCACTAAATAGTTCATAGCACAGGCCCTGAGGACCTTTTTAATTTTTAAAAAATATCTCATGGGTCGTGTCTTAGGGAGCTACAAATATAACCCAGTAATGGTTAAATTGCTTTGTGGGCAAAATTATTTTGTTCCTGTAACAGGTCCTTTGAATGGACCGCCATGTTGGAAAGTTCGTCTCTCTTCCGATATAGGTCAGACGTCCAAATATGGGTGTCATGACCCAATATGGAAATTGTAGTAAACATGGCGGCATCAGTAGAAATACTATATTTGGCCATGTAGGCCATATATGGAAAGGACAATTGAGATTACATCACGCGCGATCTGTCATGGCGATATCGTATCCATAATTTCGTGAAGGAGTTTTTTTCAGTGGTAAGGATTCGTGTTTATTTTAACAAGTTTGCAATATTTTGATAACATTACACTCATATGAGGCGTAAATTACATATGATCTTACAGATAAGCACCTTTGATTTTGCTCCATTAGTTGGCATAGGACCGCTTCGTAGCTCTGACGACGCAATATATAAAAAAAATCTCTCGTCGTCAAAAAGCTACGTTATCGTAAATGTAGCTAGGAGAGGTACGCGGTTAGTGTGTGTTATTTAAACAGGATGGTACATGTACGTACATTAAACGGAAGACTCATCTTTTGATGACAGACTGCGCGTGACAATGTTTTGTCAGGAAAAGAATGAGCCAACTATGAGGACGGTTCTTGCCCACAGTTTTATACGTTTGCTACCTTTTTAAACTGGAAGGCTCGGCACTGATATATGTTAGTAGCAACAGGCATACATTACTGCACGAGTTTTACAGTTCACAAGTCCCTGTGAAAAATATGTTTCTATTGGTCTGATTAGTAACGTACCGGATGTACATATACTTCAAATGACGTTCCAATATATACTTTACATGTCTCTGTGTGTAACAATATCTTTAAGCTTCAATATTCCTCGAATGTACAACTAACGGTCCTTCAATACGCTTTACACGTCCCTGTATAAAAGTCAACTTCACAAGCGAAGGTGTATAACGACCACTTCCGGTTGTCCCGAGGCAATGATGGTAAGTATACCGTTAAATAACAAGCCGTAGTTGAATCAGATTGTTTATTAATAAGTATAAACGATAAGATTGTATGGAGTTGTTGCTTCCTCTGTAAGTCAGTGTCTGTCTGATTAACTTGACGATAGTTAAATGTACAAATGTTTACGAGTTCGAGACGAAGGGATTAAAGACCTCGAGATAAACTCATGGATTCATGACGTAGGATACTTGATAAACAAAAATGTCCTTCAAAGAGTCGGGATTTTAAAAAAACGTATTTCTTTTAATTTTAAAATAATTTCTTTTTGTCAGGGAATAAGATAATGTACTGTTGTACATATTCGTTAAGAAAAACGTAACGAGAACACTTCCTTTGCAATGACAGTGTTTATAGTAATATTATGTACAATTTATGTGATCCAATATTCCCCGTGTCGTGGAAGATATACTTGTTATATTAATGAATACTTTTTTTATTGCAATACTTTTATGTTAGGTGGTTATATTTGAGTCTGAAACAGGTGCATGATGGCCCGTGTATTACTTCCTTTATAGAACTTCACTTCGCGATATTTACACAAACAGGCACTGTTGTCGCCACATTTAAAATACAGACCTATTTACTAACCATTAAAACCGCAAATAACAAGGACCTGAATTTTTGTCATTTTCATTTTTTGTCATTTTGTTTGCTGACTGTGTAGTTTTATGTAAGTTAGCGGAACTTGACTGGGTAGGCCACCGGCAACCGAGTACATGGCAGCTCAATTGACTAGAGCGTCCGTCTAGCGTTTTGAGGTCCCTGGTTCGAACTCCGGTCTGGCCGTGCATTTTTCATCTCCAGTTCGATTTGGCTCCCAACTAATACATATCACTATACCCCTGGAAGGACGTATAGGGTCTCGTGTGTCTATTGGGTCAAGGATGTGTATTTATCTCTGATAGCAAAGGCTGTGTCCTTGCTGATAATCCGCCTACTACTGATCAGATTGTGAAGGGCCCAAATGGAAAACTGAACTGTATTTTACTCACAAATCTGCGTACAAATCAGTGTTATGATGCCAAGTCCATGCTTTAACTGATGCGGACATGCACACTGCAGATTTCCGTAATTCGACTCAAATTAGGCACAACCAAAACAAGCCGTTCAACACACGGTAAATGTCAGCCTATTTGACAGCCACGTGTATCGCGCATGCTTCACTCCTATCGTGTCAAAATCGTTTTTTTCATGATCGAGCCATAACAATAAGGATAGGCCGTGTAAGTGTTAATATTGTCACATCCGCGTTCATTTCGGTCAAATCATCAAAGATACCTCCTGACTCCACTTGAGATAAAAAAAAATCCAGAAAGCGTTGAAAAGAACTGATAGCCAAGTCATTGGACCTCTTGTTCGTATTCATACGAAAGATAAAAAAATACCGCTATGACTCATATACAATGTTGTATAAACGCTACGACATTCATATATATGCTTATTAACATCATATTACTCCTCATATGTATCACTCCTGTTGGCCCGAATGTTAGCGCGCGGGGGTCTTAATATGGAAAGTAACCGGAGAACCCAGAGAAACCCCACGTGGTCATACAAGCATGTCATTCATTTTTGTGATGCTTGAATTTGAAAATGATGCTGAACATTAATTAACAAGAAAATAAAATCACGCGAATAAAGGAATTACATGACAGGAATCAGATTTGACAAAAAATTTGTGTAGGTCAGTATACGTACTAAACCCGCTAACAACAGAATGTATCGGGGGTTGTGTCCCCTGATGTATTACTCAAAAGGTTTGGTTTGTTAAAAGGGTTTTCGTCCTATTAATAGTTAAGGTGATTTAAGGACGTGCCTCAATTATTGTGATGTATGTGGGTGTATTTGTCTCATTGTGATAGCGCGAATCTGATACGGACTTAAGAGTTCTACGTCACTGAAATACCATGCCAAAGGCACCCACTATAGTATTTCACCCAATCACATTTATACCATATGACAACGGGTAAGCAGTGGTCGCGATTACCCTAAAGTTAAAACATTTAACCGGGAATGACAACTTCCATTTAAGGACTTGGTAAACATACAAAGGAAATTTTCTATTACAGTATAGTTCTGAAAGTTAGAATATGTGGAGTATCAGACTCTGTCCTGGTTTCATTTACGTAGAAATTAAAGCACAACCCATAACCATATCTAATATGTTAGCTATCTAAGCATGCCGTAGCACATTCAGTGTTAATAAGAGATATTGTGGACTTGTTCCAAGAGTACGATCCATCTGGTAAAAGCTGAAATCCGTAAAAGACCGACCCAGTTAGGTATTCGACGACCTAGCTAATTCCAGTTTATAATGCGCGTTGAACCCTGTTCAGTATCACTAAATCATACCAAAGTATACCAAACCAGGTGAGTGGTACCAAATCGGCTTGTTTTATCTAAATGGAAAGCGAACCTAGCTTTACGGGGCTGAGACAACTGTCCAAAAGTGCGATGCCGCTTAGTTATTTCAGTAAAAAAAAATGCTCGTAAACAGGTGGAATTGAAATCTAAAACCCCATACATTTCTTATCCATTATTGAATCTTTGGGGGATGTACGTCAATAATGTAATGTTAGTGTTTCGATAAGGTAACACAGGTGTTGTGAGTGTATGTCTAGAAAATATATTACGCAGGCTTCAACAGTGACGCTCGACCCCAAAGTTGACCTGGCGATCAGGACCTTGACTGTAAAGTGTCAAGGTCGTTTCTAAAATTGTCAGTTATTTACGAAGATATACGAAAACCATACACGCCATTGATGGTTGTACCAGCTGTAGAGATAGATATACACGTGCTAATGATATTGAAAATAACATCGTCGGGCACATGCTTTGTATATATACAAAGTAGCAGAAAGCTCGTGCCGGTTCCAATTACCTCAATTATAGCACATACGTATCCGTGTCTGTATGGTTATCGCTGAACCCTAACAAACTGCCATCTCTGTCCAATTCCTCCATCAATTGTACAGAAAACGAAAGTAGTGAAAAATTCTCCCACTTAACAATGCCATGCATTAGTACATACACAGCTCTGGCACTTATTATAAACAACGTTCTAAAACTTCAAGTGTAATGTTTGTCCGGGGTATGTAAAATATCAATACCACTGTCTAAATATATTGCAGTAATGCGCATTAACATACAGCGCCAAATGATGTCGAATCTATGAATATTCCGGACAGAATATTATTTTCTACCGGGAACAGTTTTATATTCCTGTACATATAACACAGTACAACTTCGATACTTATACATTCAGATCGTAACTAATGCATTATTTAGGTTGATACATTTACAGAAAGGGATTTTGTTTTCTGACCTATAGATATTTTCTCTTTCTATTTATTCTGTATTTTTATCTGCATTATATATTTATCTCTTATATGTAAAAAAAAAAAAACATCTGCCGTACTCCTAAGATTAAAATACCATAATTAATTTATTACCCTTTATATGTATCTATCAATGTTCTGTTTCAGATAATCACAACAAAACTATACAAGATCGAATAGGTACATTCTGTCTCTTCCAACCGGAACTTCTGACGTAATTCCGCACGTGCACCTCATCGATAATCGGCATGCTGCTCGTGGCTGCTAAGTGCCTTGGAGGATGTATGTGGGCACTCCCTGTTCTCACCTTTGGCTGGATCGTGAGCTCATGTTTTGTGACGTAAGTATGACGTCACTAAGCAATGAATGTTTTACCAAATGTTGTAACACTGTATACACGTAGTCCTTTACCGCACATCGCTATTAATGACAAAATTAATAAAGCCCGGTAGCGCTTTATATAAGTTGTCAGCTATATAAATGTGTGTTAGTACCATAATAATATCTGTTAAAATTTTCATTATTTATAATTTTATTTTATTTTATTTAGTAATATCGAACTGTTCTTTGAACTGTAAATTAAAGGGGCATCACGGTGAAGTAACTTTATTTTTTGTCTTTTTTTTTCAAATACTACATAAACATATCAAGTGAGACTCCTTATGGAAACGATCGGATTTGGCTGAAATAGATTCATAAAAATGATTAAATCTAAGAAAATCATCGGTATTTCTACCTGTCTGACCAACGTTTTGTTCAGGGATTTCCCTCTACTGGCGCATGCGCATAACACACCATTTCTTTGTAAACAAAATGACTGGCCGTGTGAAGCATAGGTGGTGGGCACGTCTATCAAAAATAATAATTGAATATATAAAACTAGATGGTGGGCACGTCTATCAAGATTTCACATTCAGCCCTCCTTCGTCCACCATCTTGAAGAATTTTATAATATGTAACACGCAAGCTGATTGGTCTAACGGCCGGTTAAAAATAGACGAAAATAGCTCGACCAATCAGCTTGCATATTATAAATTTCTCCAAGATGGTGGACGAAGTAGGGCTGAATGTGAAATCTTGCGGAGAAAATACTTGAGGGACACGAGAGGAGAAATTTAGTTGTGCGTAAAACAAGTAAGCAGGTTTGTTTTGACCTTATCTTTGAGTATACCATGGTTTATTAATGTTACGTCGTCCGCTATTCTGTGTACCGAATGAAGAATTTGTTTCGAAAAAATGTTCCGGATCGTGTCCGAGGTAACACAAATCGGTGATTTTTGCAAGCTTCGAAACTGCTTACGAAATAACTACACTGTTTTGAAGATATATAATGGGTGTTATTTAAAGATTGATGTCCCTACTTTCGATCGAGACTACGCTGTGGGAAGGATTTTAGCGGATAAAATTTCTGTGACACTTCAAACAAAATAACCTCAATTTTGCCAGCCGCTGGTAGGGGCTGAGTTCTTCACCTTTCTAGTTTTATATATTCAATTATTTTTTTGATCGACGTGCCCACCACCTACGTGTGAAGTAAGCGAAAGAAAAGTGTTGTACCGTGTCAGCTACGAAACGAAAAGTTGCAAAATGGTCAAAAGATAGCGCAAGGTGTACTTTACGGAATCATTATTGCAGGTGGGCAGTATTCAAAGGAGAAAATAACTGCCGTAGCAGTTAGTACGGTGCATGTATTCTTCCGGATAGCCGGTTAAGCTGAAATGGAATCGACAGAAATGCTAGCGCTGTTTATATTATGAATAAATATCTAAAACTATTAAGCTCGCTAGTATCTTTGTCTGAGTTTGAACACAGATGAACTTAGTTTAATATGTAAATGGGCATGTATTGGAGAGAGTTTACTTTGTGTTTCTATAATTATACAGTGGTTTATACGAAAGGAAGGGTAAATGACTGGTTAGTTTGATTTTTCCATGAGGCCCTCCAAGGGATAACTTTTGTGATGGCCCACGGCGTATTTTCTTGGTCACCGAGCTACGTGTTATCGAAGTCCGTGGATTTACATAATTTATAATATTACCGGGTTCAATAAAATGGTGTGATTTAATTATATTGCTGAATTAAACGATTATTTTTGTTTTTACATGCAAGATTTAAATTAGTGCTAATATGAATACCCGGCCTCCTCTGCCCCGGCAACATATAAAAAAAATCAGAAAGGTTTGTCTCTTGGTGTAGGGAAGGTGTTTAGACACGTACCATCTGTACCGGCCACATATCTACTTTATGTTTATGCCTATTATCATTGTTGACATTTATTTGTAAATGTATGACGGGAGAAGTCTGTAAAAACTTGTGCCCCATCCCTTGTTTAATTTTATTCAATATTGGCAACACATTTATGTTTAAAGCTAAATAAATTTAAATTCTGAATATTGGCAAGTGTGCAATTAACTTCTAATGATGAATAATTACTGTTGAATAAGTTTGACTATGGACTTAGAAATCATATAACTTGGTTTCATAGTGCGGTAAGAAGTTGCAGTTGCCTGACAGCCCCTCTTTAGGGGCCTCTTTGGAAACCGTTTCATCTCGCTCGCACCACTTGTGTTTACTGCCTAGTCAGGTGACGTTATCGGCGCTATTTTTAGCAGGGCTTTCCCGAACAATTCAAGTGGTCAAACTGGACATTTGGAACGGACTATGAATATGGGGATAGCGTGGTAACATAAGTGGAAGTGCATACAATACATACATTCATTAAAAAAAAACGCCTTTTCACGTGATGTCCCTTTAAGCGATTGATGACATTACAATAGCATTTGCCTTCTCAATGCATTGCAATGGAAGGATTTAAATATATCCTGATATTTGGTATATTTCCGTATAGTTCTTATCTTTTATTATTTTGTTGTGTTATTCATACATAGAAAAGTACAGTCCACATAACAGTTACTTTATAACATGTACGGTATAAATATTGTTCATCACAAACTTTGTACAGCCACGGATTCTCAGTAAATTACTGAGTATTAATTATTTTTGTCTATTTTGCTAAGATTTTCCTTCGGTTAATCGCAAGAAGGTTTGGCGACATAATAAACGTGACCAATAGTAAAATGAAAAATATTATTTTCTATTTCGCCAAATTTATCAATCTAGATTAACTTTGATCTAGTATTTAAGGATAGTGGTTTTTGAAAAGAGTACACTCCTTTTTTTCATGTTATGACTCAATAACGTAAAAAGAAATCATTCAAATTTATACTTATAATTTAATTCTGATATAAATTAAAGAAACCAAAAAACAAAAAACGATTAAATATTTTCAAACACTTAATTTGATAGATCGTGCATCAAATGATACAATACACAAAATTAATTAAAAATCAATACGTCATAACGAAACTGTTTCCATCATCCAATCAAAATGCTTCTTACAGTTCTTCCGATCGAAAGTAGTTCTTTCGTCAGTTTTTTTAATGTTATGAGCCGATAACAGAATTAAATCATATCCTCGTGTCCGTATTAAATCAGGAAAAAAGCTTAGATTTGTGCCGTACATTTATTTTACATGTCGTCAGATTTGCTACTGTGGACATTGTGTAATAAAACATGTGTTTCCCAAGCTATAAACGCGTTTTTGTCATACAGCGCATTTAGGTGCGAATTTTTGGACTGTTGAATTGAATCATTATTGATCCAATGAAACTTTTTTATTCTCCAAAAAGTGTAACAGACATGTGCTCTTACCTCAAAATTGGAACATTGCATTCCATCTTGTATTCCATCTTGAACAAAGACGTGTAATCAAATGTTACTAGTCCGATCACCGCAGTAAAAGGGCTTGGTTTGGTCATTCCTAGATTGAAAGTTCGTCTTAGTTCGAGCCCATCATTTGTGTTTATTTATTTTCTCAATACCATACTTTCTTCATCCCGTGGATTTCCTAGCAGTATATATAATCTTCACACTCCTCCCGTGATATGGTGAGCTCTATGGGGATGAGGTGTCGGGATTGCTCTGAGCGTACTAGTATGTGGCCTCAGCGTTAATTCTGTATTGTATAAAAACATCAGCTTTCCAAGTTCACTTTCCGCTCCCCAGTTTGTGACCAACATGGATGAGGGATTTATCACGCTTTTTCCTGTGGCTTTCTCTCGTGGTTTCACATCCTTAATCCGTTACATTCCCTTTCTTACACCTAGGCTCTTTTTCTTGAACTGTTAACGTGCTCAAGCATGCATACTGTGCTCAAACCAACTTTCTTGTAACTCGCTTAAATCATACGACGAGGCCGAGAGGTCAAGTGTAAAAACTGGAGTCGGTATGTAACTTCACGTCTCTCCAAATGTTTTCCAAATTGTTGACGACGTGTGAATTTTAATCAATTCGTCGCCAAAACAACGGTTTTGAGAACAAAACCTGAGTTAAACAACGGTTTCGTGAATACAAGCCTTTCATAATCTTTCCCTACCTTGCTCAATGGATGATTGTTAATCGGCCGACAAGCGGTGCATGATTGCATGAAATATAAGCGTTGATTGCATGTTTTCCAAGCAAATCCAGAGTTGTCTTCCATGGTCTGCTACACTGTTGACGTGACGTCATACTATTGTTTTGACTTAGATCGCGCCATTCTGCACGATGCTATCTCCCCCTAGACAAGCTGACATTTTCCGGCTTAAAGGGGGAGACACCTGTGAAGGTTGGGACAATATGCCACCAAACAATCCCCCCCTGTACGTTGAATGGGACTGACAACAACGACAGAAAGTGTCTCTTCCTCGTGAGCTTTCAGTAAAAACTTCTAGCTCAGTCTACGATGAAGGACCACAGCGCTTTGTGTGGCACAGGTCCATAGACATGTTTATAAGGTCTACCATACCATACCACTGTCGGGTTGTCTTTTGTTCTTGGTTTCTTTGACTTTTTGTCCGCTGGCACTTGTTTATTTCAGCACACCCGCTGGGCCACTGAGGTATTACATTCTTATTTTTTTCCAATTACGGGCACTCGCCGTTAATTTTTTTCTGCTGTTTGGCAAAGAATGACCTAGTTGTATCAATGTGCCATAAAAATATATCTTTATTGAAAATGAAATTAATTTTGACTGATTTTTCACAGGTACGGGATTGCCGTGGCATACAATCACACGTTTCCAGATTTCCCGTACATCAGGTGGGTTGTCTTTGACGTACGGTTTTACACAGGATTCACCACTTATTATCCATAAAAAAAAAATGATTGTATTTTTCTTCTGTTTTCTTCTTGGCAGTGCACATCTGGAATGATTAAGTTTAATGATGTAAGCATAATAAAGTCTTAGTGGAAATGTTTTGTATATTATATATGCAATTTTACCTAAAGATGTATTGTTCCGTAAGACTAAAGAATTGGCGCTAAAATATTGTTAATTTGATATTTAAATAAGATCGGGCTCTTGTAAAATTACAGAATCGATAAACTGGTATTATTTAGAGTTATGTCCCTTTAATTTGGATATGATTTGGTTTAGCTACACTGGAATAAAGCCCCCGGAGCAAGGAATCTTCACCATCACCATAGCTATTGGAGCTGTATTTTGTGAGTATATTGACGAAATTTCCTTTCACTAAATCAGACAGATTTCACGAGGTTTTCATACGAAGTACATGTATCCATTTTGTATTTTCTAAAGAACGGTTTAATTTATTTGCATGCGTCCTGATCAGAGTGAAATTCCAAGGAGTTAGCTTGACCAAATGGTGCGCATAGATAGAGTTGTTCACAACATTTCGATCGCGTATATAGACATATAGAGCGGCGGAGGGTGGTGGGTACGTTGGCTGAATTGTGCCATTTCGTTGTTTAGTCTTTTCGCACCAAAAAGACGAGAATCAACAAACCCTTAGTATCGTTCTTTGGTCTTTTCGCCCCGAAAAGACAAACAGCGAAATTTAAAAGTTACTTAATCTCGTCTTTTCGCCCGAAAAGACGAAACAACGAAATGGCACCAATCAGTAACCGTAGGTTTTGCATTTTTCCATTGTCCATACTGGACATTGGTCATCAGATTTTTTTATGTAACGATTGACTCAAATTGATCCTTGATCCATCATCTTACTGGACATCAGGTGACAGTCGAACCAGGGGGCACATAAACTAAACGCAATACCTACACAAAAGACGTCTACAAATTCTCCCCCCCCCCCCCCCCCCCTCCCTCTTCCTCTTTTATCACCTGGAAGTCTTTACCAACGTCACTGGCCCTTAGTGAGGATTTATCTTCTTTCAAGTCCACGCTTGAAGGTACCACCAGTCTCTCTACCAATTTTGCATTCTCCGTATGTAAATAGTTTTGATAGGATATCTAAACAATTACAAAAAGGACATTCTTTGAAGTGCCACCTCCCAGGTTCAACTGCACACCAACCTTGTAATGTAAGAAGGAGTCGCCCGAGACATATTATTGAGTGGTCATTTGTATGATTTAACATATACAAGTATACCTCTTCTATGTAACAGCGTGTCTGGTTGGATTATATTGATCACGTGAAAGGGAAATATTTTGTTTTATGAAGATTCGGGTTCTTCAAGATTCCTCTCGCCCTCGTGAAACATTTTAAATCTCCGGGAAATAAATAGTCGTGTTTACCAACAACAAAGGCAATACATGTTATATGATCTGTTTAATTTATTTCTGTCGATAGTGGCCGCTAATGCCGAGATGCAGTACCTATTTATCAAGAAGCTGTTTAACGAGTATAGCCCTGAGAAAAAATGGCGGAACATCAATCGAGCCGGGCTGTCTCTTGGAATGATTTCTGGTTTAGGCTTGCTGTTTGTAGCTTGTTTCCAGGTAACTTGGTCTGAAAGGCATGTGCTACATTTCATCCCTTTGCCAAAAACAATTCAAACGAAGTAGCATAGTTAAATTGATTCTTCCATGATTTGGTTCATGGAAACGTTTAAATGGTATTGTTTTTATCTAATATTAGTGCTTTTTGAAGTGTGACATGTCAATTTAAGTAACTTACTGTAGTAGATACCCTAGTGAAGTTAAGGTCCCGTTCTGAACATCAGATATTACATAGCATATCAACTCCACTGGGCAAATGATACGCATCAAAAATAGCCATGTACGTACATGTAGCATATTAGCGATCTTTGTATTTCTTCCTTTTTTATTATTTATTTGTTTATTTATTTCTATAAGTTGTCATCAACCAATTAAATACTGGTGTTCTGCAGGTGGACACGATGAAACCTCCTCACTACGCAGGCGCGTTCATGTGTTTTGGGTTTGCTATGGGGTACGCATGGGTCCAAGTCGGCATCACGTGGAAAATACGTCATTTTGATGTCATCAAACAGCAAAGTAGGCGGACGGAGTTCTTTGTGACACAGATCTGTCAGATTGTCAACAGTGTGATGTCTACGGTACTTTTTTTCACATGTATCCTTTACGGGAAGGTCACTAATCTGGCCGTATCTGATCAATATTTATAATAAAAAAGACTTTAAAATAAATAAGATTGCCAATGTCTTTGTAATTACTAATCAAACGTACACCTGTAGAAATAGTAGCTAAATCATCATCAATGTCTCGATGTAAAAATACAAAACATCTATAAAATAACTCCAAAAAATCTTCATGGAAAATACACAAGGACGGCTTTTGATCACACATATATACCTTGTTCTCAATATCTCTTCATTGGTTAAAATATATGGAGTCGTCCGATATATCTGGGAATAAACTATCGCTATTCATAACCAATCGAAAACCGCTTCACGAAAACGAGGGTCAATGTCAGTCACCCTGTGACACGTCTAACCAAACACAATCCCCGATACAGTTCCTTGATGACACGTCTAACCAATCAAAATCCTCGATACATTTCCTGGTGACATGTGTAACCAATCACATTACTCGATTCATTTTCTTGTAGAGGCATACATAAAATGTCATGTTCAGTTATTTATAAGTATATAGATAATTCCTTTACACACAATCAGTCGCGGTTTCCAAGACTATGTACAACAAGGGTCGGGATGCCGGTCTGGGTACCAAATGGGTGAGTATATGTAGGTCAGTCGCCTGACCATCCCACGGCAGATTTAGTTTAACAAAGATACAGATTTATTCCTGTTGTCAGAAATGTGAAATAAATTTTATTACAAGATTATTTTTTTTTAAATCCGTTTAATGTCGATTTAACGCAGGAAGGGAGATAACTTCGTACGTTCAAGACTATGCTATTTACTGATACATGTATTTTGCAGGTCACATATAACTTTATTCATTTCAAATTATTAAAAAACTATATAACAAATTTTAGATTGAATATTTCAACGAAAAGAATTATGCAAGACAGAAGTTCGTTCAATTTTTTAGGACTATTTAGAATTATGCTAACTAATGCAAACAAATAAGCAGAAAGCAAAATAACCAAAAGACGGTACCGTTTGGCCATGTTTTCTTCGCTTGCTTTCAGGACACATTGCGTCCCATTTTCCTGGTGTCTACGATCTCGGAGTGGCTGCTGACCATCTCCGTAACTCTGTTCCTTCTTACCTTCATACCAGCTTTCCGCATGTTTTCTCACACGCGCATCGAAATTGACTTCATTTCGCCTCATGTAAGTATTCCCGCTAGCGTATCCTCTCCAGAGATTAACCATGTTTCTCTACAACCAGGACAAAAATTGTATAATATTTCGGGGATTACTTCCACTCATTTATCATCCCATGTGAGTATCACCACTGAGATGCGGCCCCGGGGATGGGGTAGAGGGTTGGAGGTCCTGAACATCCCCCTTTACATAAAATGTCGGATCTTAAACATCACTATTTCAACTAAACTTCTTTTTATGTGTGGGTCAATAACACGAAGGTAATGTCAGTGACAATAACAAAAAGGTTATGTGTGTCACAATAACACAAAGGTTATGTGTGTCACAATAACTCAAAGGTTATGTGTGGGTCAATAACACAAAGGTTATGTGTGTCAAAATAACACAAAGGTTATGTGTGGGTCAATAACACAAAGGCTATGTGTGTCACAATAACACAAAGGTTATGTGTGGGTCAATAACACAAAGGTTATGTGTGGGACAATAACATAAAGGTTATGTGTGTCACAATAACACAAAGGTTATGTGTGGGTCAATAACACAAAGGCTATGTGTGTCACAATAACACAAAGGTTATGTGTTTAACCTCAGCAAAATATTTCTTCTGTCATCTGTAAGCATTTCCACTGAATTATAATTTATTATATAACTTGTGTTTTCGTTTCAGCTTGCTAATGGTGATGCTCCGGCAGAGAATGGGAATGGACAACATGAGGGTATCGAACTGATGACCAGCACATAACCCCATACGATCAGCACGTGATTTAAAGACAGACTTTTACTATAAAGAAAAAAAACAAAATCTGTATGTTAATAAGGTGTTGTGGATAGAATTTTTCTTACTATATTTGATAATTGTTTACATTGCTCTTTTGGCAGTTTACTATATATATGTTCTTGTCGGTGGGTTTTGTATACATACAGGTATGTTCCACGTGGTACTTTATATTGTGTCTGCAACACTTGCTGCTTTGTGTATGCCAGTTTGGTGACCAGATAGCTAGTACGCATCAATATCTTTATACAGACTGCTTGGTCCATTTCGTGAGAGACGGTGCCTTCTGATGTATAATTTGTTCATTTTCCATGCCCTCTCCAACAAGAAGAGTCATTTATCTTGTATGTTAACATGTCCATATGAGTTTCTTCATGATTTATTTCAGTAATTCCGATTTAAACTTGAGTGCAATCGAACGTTTACTTGATATAAGAGATTAGAAATGTATGGGAAGAATAGCAATAAATTCAAAAAATGATGCAGTGACCATTTTTTTCATAAAAAGTTAGGGATATATCTGCGGACACAGAGAAAGTTTGAAATCCCAATAAATTTATAAAAGTACAAATAATAGTATTTATAATACATGTATGTTTATAAGCGAGCTGTAATCTATTCATTCGGGGAATTAATATTATTACGACTATTTTATCCCACCCCAGTAAGACGAGAAACAGGGTATGTACTATATAGCTTTCTGTTCGCGAATCCAAATTCTGGTTATATTGTTTTACAAGATTATTGTAAGCCTTTCCAGCTGAAAACCAAATGCATTTAACAAATATTTTATCTGCCATATTATATCAAATTGAGTATTGTTGACATGTTTTTGTATACAATTTAATTTCATTTCATTTAGAAACACTTTAAACTCCCATCAGGATGGCTCACAGGGTCCTGGCAATTTGTAACAGCTATACTTGCGCCTTAACTAAGTGTTCATAGTAATTTTACATGTTTTAAAGGTTTAGATCGACTTCCGATACAAATGACTCGTAATCAATAATCATTTGGGGTGTTATTTTTTACCGAAAGTCGATCTTAACCACTAAAACATGTAAAATAACTCTGAACACCATAGTTTAGGTCCAAATATAGATGTAACAATTTCTCAGGTCCCTGTGGTGTGAGTTATATTGGACAGATCTCATTTCATGCTCTCAGCTTTAACTAGCCTTGACATGTACAGTAAATGTATACAAAAGGCCACCTGTTATAAGGTGAAATATATTGCTTATCAATCAGGGGGAGGGGGGGGGGGGCACATCTCAAATGAAAAGTGTTTAAGAATATCTCTTTTTTGTAGAAGATATCTGACTTTGATATATATATGAATCTGTTTATTTTGTTACTAAACTGCATTTAGTTTTATTTATCTGGTATGCATTTTCTATCTTCGTTTGCTAAATAAGATGTACATTGTGGTGAATTTTAATATCTCATATTATTGCTAGATATAAACTAAGCGTTGGAGCATCTGATTCTTGTTGTTTAAGTTGTGTACTTTTTTGTGACAGTGCACTAAAATAGAGTTTAGTTTGCTTACAACACCAAGTTCAATACCACACCTTCACATAGTTGAAAAGTTTAAAAAGGAAGGAAGAGTAAATTGAAGAGAAAAAGAAAAGATGCGGAGTAGAGGGATGGTAGAAGGTGTCCTAAGCAGGGATTGAGAGATAAAAAAAAATTAAGGGAGGGTGGAGGAGGAAAGAAATGAGGGGCAATTGGATAGAACGAAAAAGAGAGCAGGGGAAAGAGTTGAAGAAGAAAATGATTGAGAGAAGGAGAAGAGGACGAACACGTATTTTTAAAACGTCCTCGATGTGATATGTTTTGTTGTAGGTTTACGATGATTTATATCGTGTCAGTATTTTGTTGACAGCTGTGAAAGCTGTATTTGGTGTGATGCAGTATTAGTGTACCCTCTGTAATACTTGTCTCTGAATTTGAACTTTTAAGGATCCCCGTACCACTATCAAAAACCGTAACTATAAAATGGAATTTTTATCAGCATGGTAATAAATCTAATAAAATATTTTTGAAAGGAAATCCATTCCTTACGGGGCTTTGATAAAAACAATGAAATAAACAACAATTAAAATAATACGGATGCTCTAATCAACTGTTATTGTCAGCAGCGATGAAGGGATGCTTAACATAAAATAATTCATATGTTCTTAAAATTAACACATATTATGTATAGTTTAAGTGAGTCTCAAGTAAACGGCTGATACAAGTGTTTATGATTGTGTATAAATATATCTGCTGAACATAGCCTACCTGTTATATATCTGTTGACATTTTGAATAAATTTTGATGTTATGATACTTTATGTTTTACCTCTCTATCGGGAAATCAACATACTTTACACGTATTTCACTATATTTTGACTGTCTCCGTTGCTACCACGCTGACTTTGTACGCTGACCAAGGAAAAATAAACCTGCTGTTACTTGTTTTTATTTAACAAAACATTTTCTGCCAAATTTGACTGGAGACCAGTGGTGCAGGACCGCATTTGTTTATCGCGATCCAAACGGTTGGGCTGTTGACACTCCCAATGATCATATTCCGTCTTTGCGTATTGCAGAGTTATCTTCTCTTGGGAGCAAGTATTGATTGTTACGTCACTTGTTTGTGAGAAACGTCATCATTTTTTGAGAAAACGACGTAATTTTCTCACACAGACCAAAGACGTAACAATCAATACCTGCTCCCAAGAGAAGATAACTCTGCAATACGCTAAAACAGAATAGAGGAGGAGCTCAATTTTACCTGTTTTAGGGGTTTAGATCGACTTTCGGTAAAAATGACACTCTCAATGATCATATAGTGGAGGAATTACCCCTCTGCTTCTCCTCTATAAGATCATTGGGGTGTCACTTTTACTTTAAACCCCTAAACCATGTAAAATTACTCTGAGCACCTTAGCTAAGGTCCAAATATAGCTGTTACAAATTCTCAGGTCCCTGTGGACCAGAGTTGTTCGACAAGGATTTAAGGTCGGACCCAGTAATCTGAAGCTACTTTCAGGCGAACCTTGACAAAGCCTTGAAGAGCCTGCATATTTATACTCGAAAATGAAATATTGTTTTTAATAATTATTGTTGATTGAGGTCAAATACCAACTTCTTGAATATTCAAAACAAATGCAACCTCCTTTAAACCTGAAGAAGGTTACCTGAAAGGATAAATTAATATTACAAAAATATGACTGCTGCAAAACCAATGCAAAATTAAGAATCAATCGCACCTTTAGTTAAAAGAGTTTAAAAAATTGGACATTTTTCATGAAATCTGCATAAAATGGTGATGACAGGGTGTCGTTCTAACCCGCTAACTTTTTGTTTTCCCTGGAAACATATCTTTATTTTTTTCATGATTTGTAGCATGGTAATAGGTTATTTTATATACCAATTTGAAAAAGAATTCATTGACACAATTTTTTTTATTCGACTTTACAATCATTTTTTTTTTGCAAAAAAAGGGTAGCCATTTTGAAAAAAAACAATTGTTTAAAATATTATGTCTGAAATATTTCAAAATATTCATTTATCATATTGTACTCAGATAAATTCCAAAACAATTTATATGCATTTTTGGCGGGTACCTTAATGACTTAAAAAGGGCAAAAAAGTGACATTTTTCGGACTTCAAAGAGGGGGTAACTCTTTCAAAGAATATTTTTTAAAAAAGCCTGGAAACCTATTCTCAAATTTTGATATTTTGTTAAGTACACCCCTAAGAACAATATATGCGAAATTAAAAAAAAAATCATTGACTTGATTTTTTTGGCCTCTAGTGTCCTTCTCTACCTTAAAAACGAACGCCTAGGCTCAAGGTCTTTGTCGAAACCGCCGGTTAAAGTCCGTACGAGTTATCCTTCTTAGCTGCCCAAAACCTCGCACAACAAATCAAAGAAAGATAACTCTGCAAAGCTTATTGTCTACACTTGGTTGTTACGGCATATCTTATTAACCTTTGTTTTAGTGAAAAGTGAAAAGAAACGGATTTCTTCTTATGAACTTTAATACACACAGGAATGTCAGAGTATTTGCTTCGCCATTTTAAACACTGGTTATTCGAGACTAAAAGTAAGTAGATATACAAGTATATATGCATGAACAAGTTCATCATTTCAAAGTTTAAATACACTAAATGTTAATATTTACTCCGTAGACTTATAAACGTGGAAATATTCTAAAATGTGAACATTTTATTATAATCAGCGATAGATTGTAAGTATTGAGACTTGTAAACTTTTAATTCATATAGATAAGGTTTGGTGCGTCTACTTTGTTTGTCATTATATTTGTTACTATTTGTGGAGAGAAAGCGTAACCAGTGTTGTAATCACGTAATGGTATGTCCAATCATTTTGCTACATTTCCGGCAATATCTTCAACGATAAAGAGTTCTTTCTCACTTTCAGTTGATTGGCCATTCATTATAGCACAGAGTTATAAACAAGAGAAATATTTTGATTCCTGTTTTCATAAAATCTTCTTTGCGACGAGATATTCGACCCCTTAATATATAGCCTCTTGATTGTAGAGCGGAGACCAATCCCGTGGTTTTATATAAAATCAAATATATTTCTTGATAAACTAAATTTCAAATGGGGGCCTTTTTTTCTTCGAAAATAATTTCTCGGACATTAGGTTTGCCTTCCGATGAATGGTAAATTGTGAAAAAAAAATAAAGACAATTGTCTGGTAATCAGTAGCCTCTAGAGCCTGTTGTTGAATGTAAATTAACAGTACTATGTGACGTCATATTGACTAACTTGGGATATTAGAGGAAATGATAAATATGGGAGACATATTACTTATTAACTCGCCATACCTATAGTTCAGTTCATGCCGTGACGCGGCGTCCATCATATTAATTTTGAAGTCTATTTCTCTAGAACGACAAAGGAGTTTTTAACTGGTGTGACGCATCCCTGTGTCAAAGAAAATCTTTAAAAGAGAACTCCTCAATTATGAGTCGACAACGATCAACTTACTTTAGAATGAATCATGTCAATTCCAATCAAAATTGGAATTTAATTTTGTTTGAAGGCGTACTCAGTCATCTTGGTTGCAGATGCGTTCGGTCCTAGAAAGTGGTATATTGTTAGGGTTTTAGTTTCTTTTTTTCTTCTTGTATATACTTAATGTATAGAGCTGTCCTTTTATTCAATTTGAATATTTTTCTACACTGTAGATTTAGTTTGGTAAAAAATATAATGTTTGGTCTCTTTAGGGTAGGTCTAGTATAAAAAATGGAATTAAAAAATACTATTCCTTCTATACGGTTTAACAGAAACTAATCCAATTTGATGTGAAACATCAATTTGGATAAGGGATTCAATGTTCTGTTAAAAAGACTTTACAATGCTATCTCTGAAAGATTGCCCAGGTGGTATTCCTGTTAGAGGGGATGCTAGTATACATGAGCGCTTGGGTCCAAAACAGAAAGAAAATAACATTTTCCTAATGTTACTTTACATATTAAGTTTAAATTGCTTTTGAATAAAAAACAGTTCTGGAACCTGCAACATTGAAGATGATAACACCACTACTTCAGCACATAGGTATTGGATGAAGTCAAGTACGTGAAATACGGATGTATTGCAAAAAAATCCACAAAAATCTTATTCTTTTTCCAAAACTACAAATGTGAGAATGCAAATAGATATATTTCAAATCCAGAGATTTTCACAATATTATTTCATTCTTCTATCGTCTTGTTTAAAAGATTGATTTGCAAACTATCTATAATAAGTTTAGTATCATCCGCATACTTGGATATTAAAACGTGGCATTGAAGATTTTTACTTGATTATATTAAGCTTTTCTTACAATTTTATTTGCCAATTATTTGGCACACGGTATGTGAATTCTCTTGATAACAGCAGTTATGTACGTGAACAAATAAAGTCTCCTCGATTTGATGAAGAAACGGCATTTTTTGGGGGTTATTTAGTACCTTCAGAATTTCAAAATTTCCAAATATTTAGTTCTTTATCAATTTTACAAGTACCGAAGCAGAAGTTTTCTCAAAGTTTTAATATTCCTGGTATTGCGATCAAACTTTTCTTTACCGCGTGGTATCATAAATTGTTGCATATATTGTGTATCAGAGAAGCAACATTTCCATGAGTTAAACAACACCAATGGACATTACACAGCACAAGAGTGATTAAAACAACACGAGTGAACATTACACAGCACAAGCGTGAATTAAAACACGAGTGAACATTACACAGCACATGAGTGAATTAAAACACGAGTGAACATTACACAGCACACGAGTGAATTAAACAACACGAGTGAACATTACACAGCACACGAGTGAATTAAACAACACGAGTGAACATTACACAGCACACGAGTGAATTAAACAACACGAGTGAACATTACACAGCACACGAGTGAATTAAACAACACGAGTGAACATTACACAGCACACGAGTGAATTAAACAACACGAGTGAACATTACACAGCACACGAGTGAATTAAACAACACGAGTGAACATCACACAGTACAATAGTGAATCAAACATCACACAGCACAAAATTGAATTATAACACGAGTGAACATTACACAGTACAAAAGTGAATTAAAAGACGAGTGAACATTACACAGTACAAAAATTATTAAAACACGAGTGAACATTACACAGTACAAAATTGGATTATAACACGAGTGACCATTACACAGTACAAAAGTGAATTATAACACGAGTGAACATTTCACAGTACAAAATTAAATTATAACACGAGTGACCATCACACAGTACAAAAGTGAATTAAAACACGAGGGAACATTTCACAGTACAAAAGTGAATTAAAACACGAGTGAACATTTCACAGTACAAAACTGAATTAAAACACGAGTGAACATTACACAGTACAAAAGTGATTTAAATCACGAGTGAACATTACACAGTACAAAACTGAATTAAAACACGAGTGAACATTATACAGTACAAAACTGATTTAAAACACGAGTGAACATTTCACAGTAAAAAGGTGAATTAAAACACGAGTGAACATTACACAGTACAAAAGTGCAGATTACTCAATAACAGCACGGAACTAGATTAACCATCTAAGTCCGTGGCAGTAGTATTTAATACACGGAAGTAGTATAAATGATCTAGCACGGGTATAAATTTCACGACATGGATTTAAATTACATGATTGTAAATTACACTGCACGAGTATAAATATCACAGCACAAGTGTGAACTAAACAGCACAAGTATAATGAGCCTGCAAGGAGTAGAAAATGCACGACTCGGGTATATACATTACACAGCACAAATTTAAAACACATAACACCAGTGTTAAGTACACGGTAAGAGTTCAATGCAGTATAAACTACACAGCACAAGCATAAGTATTGGCTCATGGCAGCAAGGAGCATACAGGACCCGGGTATAAATTACATCGTCTATGCAGGAATTAAAAAAAAATCTTAATATTGCCACATGACAGTGTACAATTGTTATATTTACGGATTTTGTTTCTTGAACAAATAGTGCAACAAATTAAACTAAATGTATGTTTTTAGTGCTTTAACTTTAACTTTTCTTACAATTACCCCTGCACAGTGTTGTCCTTTTACTATAATTACAAAATATAAGCTTCTACAGCCTCCTTAATTTTGTTATGAAATATTTCATATTTTTTATTTATTTAGACTTAAATAAATAAACAAAATATATGAATTATTGCTATAAAAATGTCAACAGTTTCTCGACACATGATATCATATCCTGAGATTGGTCTTAGTTTTGTTCAAGGAAGGTAGGCCTAGTCCTGCAATACACACACTTGTAAAAAGTGTTTTGCATGGCCTGAATGAGACCTTTTATCAGCCAATCAAATTGCTCGTTGCAAGATGACAGACTTGTAGCCACACCCCTTCAATATCAGCCATTTTGGAATCTCCGGAAGATAGCCCAGTGGAAAGTCCGGGTGAAGTAAACTTTGGTAAGTAAACCTGGATTAACTACATTTCCTAGGCACTTTCTGTTGGATTTTGATATTACGACGAACCAGAAATGGATTAAAATATCTATGCAGGTAATTTTATCTTGTGTCAGATAAGCACACGGACGGAAAACTTGTTTTCGTTGAGGTCGAGTGATCCCCCTTCGAAGTGTATTCAACCTGGAATCTAAGGAACATAGGACTTTCAGCTTCATTTGTGGAAAATATCAATATAATGGCGCTCAAAGGTCATAATTTTAAAACATTTGGTTTTATTTCCGCTTACACACCTGTGTATTGGTAAGTAGTACTTGTGTGGTGTTGACAAACGTATGACCCGCTCAAGATATCTGACAGGTGCGAAAACTTGCACACCTGTCTTGGACCTTGGGGTGTGTACACCGAACGTGGGTCATTTAACTGTGTCCAGGGGCCCTAATACATTATCACTAATAACGCAATTACACACAGCTATATAATATTGCATGTCCAGTCAAAGTATATGTGCGATACGTTTGTCTAACGACCGCCAGCCTTCAGCATATCAATCTTGGACAAGGAAAATTGGCAGTCGGCCCTATTGGGTTACATGAATGAGAGGCCTACGCCCTATGTTGGGAGGGTTGGGTGACAATCTACCGTTAGCGTATGTCTCCTAATGTTGGTAAATTAATTCAGTGACCAGGTAAATTGGTTCCATGTTTATAGATCTAGCATGGTAAAGGTATATATTGTCAATGTCTTATGTGTTTTTTTTGTCTGGGAACAACATTATAACCGAGAAAGTAAACATTTAGCACGGTTCATTGAACTTACTATATATACTGTGGATACAGATTACCTATACAAAGTAGGTCTTCGGAGGGTTATGACCTCATGCTTATTGAACTGTTGTGGTTGATTTCAATCTTAACAAATAGTTAACAGTATGCCTCAGGTACAATGTTTATTGTTATAAAATACTGAATTTGCCAAGGATGTTTGTTTACATCATCATATCACAGGTGTCTGAAATTCTGTCAAAAATTAATAACAGTAATACAAAAAAAACACTACATTATCCTTAAAAAATATTTTAGGCATATTATAGTGTTTTTTTTGTATTAGTCCGTATTACTGTTATTATTAATTTTGGCAGAATTTCAGACTCTTGTGATCATATGTCTAATAAAAACAGTCACTACAGTAGCTTCAATTCATTTCGTATTTTGATGAACCGAAATTCTGAAAATAGAAATACTGTCATTTAAATTTATTAATAATATCAATAAAATGTATTGAAGTTCATGAATATGGTATTGGGATACAGCAGACAGGTTCAAGATTAAAAACTGGGGGTGAAAATTCCGGAGTAGGGAGAGGAGAGGAAACATGACGAGTATGTAAAATTTAATAGGGATAGTTAGAGCCACTCCTTGGAATTCTTAGTATGAAAGCATATTGGATTATCTGGATATACCTGTAGTATGATAAGTGAAAAAATGACTGCTACCTGTAATTTATCAATGAGACTATAGATTAATATACACATTCATAACATATCTCAATATTGTTATCATTGCCTACTCAAAATTTTTAGATTAATAATTATAAGATATGACAAGTGGACATGGTACATGTATGTAATAGAGGGATGCACAAAGTACAGTATCACATTTCAAGTTAAATTTTAAGATAACATTTATTTGTATATATTATAGTCATTTTATCTGCAAAGTCAACAAATGCAGTTACGTCAATAGAGGAGTGTTTTAAAGATCTATTTATAGGTTCAAGTATTTCTATAACAGGTACCATTTGTGCTTGCTTGTAAGCTGTACGCTATTAGCTATAGGTATTGTCTGAGCCGTAAAAGTATATAATTTATACCTTTCTGTTGGATATGTAGTGTATATTTTTTAGCATGTGTACATTAAATCATTCACCCCTGAGGACACATTTGAACTCTCCCAGTTCAAAGGTTGAAATAGTTCATTATGAAATTTCAAGGGTAAACGAGTTTAAATTGATAATGGTAATCAGTTATTGCTGCTATTATTGATATGTAACTGCATCTGATGCCTGATGGTACTGGATCTACATGTATATAGCTATCCCATTATATATGTCAACATTTATGTCAATAATATGTTATACTTGTCAATAATTCTACAAAGTGTATTTATAACATGATTAAATAATATCAATGTAATGCATGCACATTCTTTATGTAACCTTTGATATAAATACTGTTTTGTTTGTTACTGTAAATTTTCAAAATTTTAAATTAAAAACACATATATATATATATATGTATCACTTACATGCTTTGCATATTCACTCTATAGACATGAATTAGCACTCATCCCTTTTATACCAGGCTAAATATTCTTCCTTATATATATATATATATATATATGCCATATTATTGTGGAATATGACAGTGTATATATTAGTGCATAATTGGTGACAATGTGTGGAAAAAATCCAATTGCAACAGTTAGAACAATTTGTATCCTATCTTTACTTATATTTCTGTCATGCATTACACATGGAGTACGACACACATCCTTCAATGAATTAGCTGCTAATGGATCACACTAAATTGAAATACTGGTCATATTCTTTATCGTGACTTAGCAGTTTGAGCTTTGTTTGAAAGCTACAGTTGTCATGACGTTATATGGAGTGGTCAGATTGTAATATAGCCGGAGACTGGGTACTATACCTGTGTTATGTACGTATAAATTAGTAGATTTGATTATACACATGTATTGTTAATTCAATAGCATTTGATATCCCTGGGTAGTTGGTAGACTATTTACTGAATATGTACCATGTTTAAGTGTTGGGGATAGTTGAAATGTTTACTGAGATTTGCTGAAATGTTGACTTAAACATTGACCTTGAGTAGTAGCTTTAAATTACTACCCAATCCTGGTTGACCTGTACGTAATAATGTACATAGTACATTACTATATAGCTCTCACTGGACTTGTGATCATATACATATACATGTATGTATGTAATGAGGCCTATGGGCTATATATATGTTTATCTTTTTATCACTCCAAATCTTTTGGTAGGTTAGTTTTATTAATTAAGGTACACATTTAAAAATACAACAACTTTCCATCCAAGGTTAAGGAAAAAATACACAGTGACGTAATAAAAAAATAAACTTTGATTTACCAAAATGTATATTTCAGTTTCAAACTATCATTTCATTTTTCAGACTTCTGATGTGGTAATTCCAGAAACGGCAATTGAAGAATTTAAAGTCAATACAAACTTTAGGAAATAGTAAAACAAAAGTGTTCATCATGACAAACTATGAGGAATCGATTCAGCCCTCTAGCGATAGCTTTTGGGAGGTGGGCAAGTACCAGCGGACAGTGAAGCGTGTTGACAATGGACACAAAATGTGTGAAAGCCTTAGAAGTCTCATAGAGTCGAGGAGCGAGATAGAAAAGAACTATGCCAAACAGCTCTCACAGTGGACTAAAAGGTGGAACGAATACTTAGACAAAGGTACCAAAAATTGTCTCCTCTCACACAATTGTTTTTTATTCAATTGGTAAGGTTGAAATTTAGATATATTTAACATGTAAATTCAGTTTGCAATTAATTTAGAAAGTGTTAGTTTGTCATTTCCTCATCCAATACTCCAGGAGCCATGCTCACTTACATTCTCTGCATCCCTGAAACATGTCATGACAAAATTGAGGGCTAAGTGTGCCCCACTTTGGGATGATACAAGAAGACTAGATTGATCCTTTGGTATACTATGTACATCAAGAAAATCACGCCTCATGGCATAATTGTAAAATAGACAAGCTTTGAAATCTGGTCAGGTCCTGTTCCACTGTTTTCTTCAAAGAACGGGTATCAGCTTAGCAATTGGTCGGTTTTTAGCTCACCTGAAACCAATCAAATAGCTAGCCGTGTGGCTTCCACATTACCCTCGACATAATCCAGTGGTGCAGAGAACACAAAAGAGTGTAACTCCAGGAGCTTCAAGGCTGCTGTTTCCTTTTTTACTGAGTGATGCAATATATTTATCATAAACATATTTAAAATGGGTTAAATTTAAAACTGTTTTGTATCTGAAAACCTTAAAAAAGTAATCTAAACAGCTTAACTCATGTGAAGCATCGAATATAAAGAATCCCAATCCAAAGTTATGTAAAAGTTTAGGAAGAATGGTTATTTAATAATGACTTTCTATATGCGTGTAGGACCCGAGTATGCCACAACACAAGGAGCATGGCGAGGATTGCTAGAAGAGGCTGATAGTGTGGCAAACCTCCACACACTGGTCGGGGAGAATCTCATGTCCAAGGCTTACGCAGACATCAAACAATGGCAGAAGGACAATTACCACAAATCTCTGATGCATTTCAAGGAAACAAAAGAGATGGAAGATGGTTTCAAGAAGGTACAGTAGTCCTAACTGTCTTGTATCATAGTGCTGTTACTTGTTACTGACTCTGCTGGAGAGGATTTCCCTTTAGGCCAAATAAAAAGTCTTGTGTTTTGGCTAACCCTACCTACCATAATGTTTGTATTGGCATTTAGTGATATGCACTGTGTAAGTGAGGACTCATGCTTTATATAAGCATAGTAAACATGTTTTCAAGAATAAATAAAAATTGCCTACCTACCTATCTTTATTTTTCTGAGGATAATAGTGGAAACACAAGTAATTTTCGTTGTGGCCTTAGCTCAGTTGGTTGAGCACTGGTAAATTAGTCTTGGGTTGGAATCATAGTGATTAAATGACCACATTAACATAAGCACTCCAGGGTATTTTTTACGATAATTCTTTAATCCTGTTCTCACAAACATGCATGGGTGTGCTGTGGCAGGTGTCAGGATTCAGCCTTTATATAGAGGGAGAGTTTCTCACGTTATTGAACTATCTGGTCACTTGCAATTGTTACAGACTTTGCTAAAGAATATTTCCATTTTGCTGTAGCACTGGACTAATCTGTAGTCCTGAACTCCTAGTGTATATGTAGTTACTTGGGAAATAGATGACCAGTTGGTTACATGTGTAATTTATCAGAGTCCTGTATACATTGTACATTCTGATTTGCATGAGAGCGGTGAGCTTTGGATGAGACCATTGATAGTTAAATGTAAGATGAGGATTAAATAAGCTTTTGTAATACAAATGAGACCAACCCTTGAAGTATGGATGAGTCTTTGACTGTGAGATAAGGATTATAAACTTTTGTAATACAAATGAGACCAACCCTTGAATCATGAATGATTCTTTGACTGTTAGATAAGAATTATAAACTTTTGTAATACAAATGAGACACACCCTTGAAGTATGACAGAGTCTTTGACTGTTAGATAAGGATTATAAGCTTTTGTTATACAAATGAGACCAACCCTTGAAGCATGAATGAGACTTTGACTGTGAGATAAGGATTATAAGCTTTTGTATTCTTTTGTAATACAAATGAGACCAACCCTTGAAGTATGGATGAGTCTTTGACTGTGAGATAAGGATTATAAACTTTTGTAATACAAATGAGACCAACCCTTGAATCATGAATGATTCTTTGACTGTTAGATAAGAATTATAAACTTTTGTAATACAAATGAGACCAACCCTTGAATCATGAATGATTCTTTGACTGTTAGATAAGAATTATAAACTTTTGTAATACAAATGAGACACCCCCTTGAAGTATGACAGAGTCTTTGACTGTAAGATAAGGATTATAAGTTTTTGTTATACAAAGGAGACCAACCCTTGAAGCATGATTGAGTCTTTGACTGTAAGCTAAGGATTATCAGCTTTTGTATTCTTTTGTTATACAAATGAGACACACCCTTGAAGTATGACAGAGTCTTTGACTGTTAGATAAGGATTATGAGCTTTTGTTATACAAATGAGACCAACCCTTGAACTATGACTGAGACTTTGACTGTGAGATAAGCTTTTGTAATACAAATGAGACCAACCCTTGAATCATGAATGATTCTTTGACTGTTAGATAAGAATTATAAACTTTTGTAATACAAATGAGACCAACCCTTGAAGTATGACAGAGTCTTTGACTGTTATATAAAGATTATAAGCTTTTGTTATACAAATGGGACCACCCCTTGAAGCGTGAATGAGTCTTTGACTGTGAGATAAGGATTATAAACTTTTGTAATACAAATGAGACCAACCCTTGAAGCATGAATGAGTCTTTGACTGTAAGATAAGGATTATAAGCTTTTGTTATACAAATGAGACCAACCCTTGAAGTATGACTGAGACTTTGACTGTGAGATAAGCTTTTGTAATACAAATGAGACCAACCCTTGAAGTATGAATGAGACTTTGACTGTGAGATAAGGATTATAAGCTTTTGTATTCTTTTGTAATACAAATGAGACCAACCCTTGAAGTATGACAGAGCCTTTGACTATGAGATAAGGATTATAAGCTTTTGAAATACAAATGAGATCAACCCTTGAAGTATGAATGAGACTTTGACTATGAGATAAGGATTATAAGCTTTTGTAATACAAATGAGACCAACCCTTGAAGTATGACAGAGTCTTTGACCATGAGATAAGGATTATAAGCTTTTGTAATACAAATGATATTAACCCTTGAAGTATGACAGAGTCTTTGACTGTGAGATAAGGATTATGAGCCTGTGACATACAGATGAAGCCATTTATGAATACACAGATTATACCTAGCCTTCAGATAGGTAATAGACCATTGAGATACTGATTAGATCATTAAACTTTGGATTCAACTGTTGGATGAGTCTGCTGAGGTAAGAATAAAACTGGAGATATGCTGTACCAGTCTTGATTAAGCCTAACCCTTTGGCCCCTACGTAACTTTAGTAGACTCTACCATGCATTGATCTGGATGAGTCCATTATGGTCTACAGTGGTGAAAGGGTCAATGCCAGTGACATAAAAAATTTACTTATATTGCTTTGACCCAAGAGCTTTCATCTTTCCTTTTCAATTCTTAGTTCTGATACAAAAAGGCAATTACAATGTCAGATATCTGTAGCTCGGTCACACTGTCTCTCACTAGGGAAATCTGTCAGGAATAAGATATATATCTATCTATTGTGACATTTATCAGATTTAGTGATTTATAATGTGAACAGTAGCTTATCAAGATCTAGAAAATGTGATAAACTAATTTACCGCTGAAATTTTCATTATACTATTCCTACTTTTGAATTGGAAGAGTTCAAATGTGTCTTCAGGGGTGAATGAGTTAAGTTACATGTACAGATGACGATAGGTTAAGGCTGACGAATCAAGATTTGCTTGGATAATTTACAAGACTTAAAAAAAAATCAAAATGTAGAAGGGGAGGTGGGGTAGGGGAATGTTACCATAATTATTTTACAAAAGCCCAAAAGGGCCAGCACGTAATCTATAACTCAAAGTAGGGAGTGGGCTTAACAAATTTTGACATGAAAGCATGTTATGAACTTTATATTCTAATGTCAATAAATCTTTGGAGTGAACTGTCGTAAAAAGGCAGGGCTTAAATAAAGTTGGACAGATTGCATTGTAAAGCATTGTTTTCACGCAGTTTGTTTTAATTGATTTGCTAATAGAATGGAGCGATTGTTTATGGTAGTTAAGTGCTATACTGTATATATATGTACGTGTGTACCATAATATTGCAGTAAGTACTCTGACTACTTAAAAAAAAAAGTGGACAAAAAACTGAAGATTTTTTCATATATAAATTACAGAAATAACTGGTAAAAATCTTCATATCATCTATTCCGAAAATTATATATCGCCAGTAAAAGTCTATACATAAGTATTCTGGTCTTGATGTTTGTGAGCAATCTTAAGACATTGCTAGAGAGAGAAAAACAGGTGACAGATTTACGATAGAGAGGAGTCAGAGAAATGGAAGAGCATTTTGCATGTGTTTTTAACATGAGTAGTAGCTAGGGAGAGGCAGAATTTAGCACTGTTTGGTATGAACTCTCTGGTATCTGATCAGTTCCTGCAGTGGTAACACCTACATTTGTACATGTGATATTTGACAGCTGATAAACCCAGAGAGCCCTATATCATATCCTTTAAGGAAAATGGTAACATTAAAACCAGGTTTATTTTGAGAATTCCAGATCATTTAAGTGCAGGAAATGTCTTTAGGTTTGACCTTACATTTGTAAAATATGATGAGCAAAGGGGTGGGCTTATTACTGAGTGCTTTCTCATAATAGGTATAAAGTATGTGGGGGGTTTTGTTCACGGTCCAAGCACTTTGGGTTAAAATGGGCAATGTGTCGTCGAAAAGGAAATGATATTGATTTACCCAGAATGTAATTGATTTTGATGAAGTAGGGTTTGTGTGGTTAAATCATACTGTTGTCTTTGATGGATCCTGAACGTGCTTATTTGTTTGATTTAATTTAATTGGGAGTTCTGGTAAAGATCAATACCCCCTGACAGACTAGTGATAGGGAATTCCCTCGTCACTGTTAAATTCACTGGAATCTGAATCGCTGTGCTCACTTATTTTCTTCTCCACAGAGTTTTAGTGTGACAGAGACAAAGCTGCATATAATAGTCTATAATGCTGACTCTACAGATTGCCTGGGCTGTCGGGAGATATATCTGCAATGGTTACATACATACCTGTGTGAGGTCAATGGATCTCTGTATATTACATTAATCATTATCATAAATCATAAAAAAGAAATCCTTACAAAGCAAACAAATTGATACTTTATATTCAAAAAATATTATTTGAATCTATATGCTGATTATTTGGTTTTCAGTTCATCAATGATGTGTATAATTTAAACTATAAATTGTGGTGGAAACGTTTGATTAATTAATTCATTATATGTTTTCTAGTTAATATAAAATGGAGTGGACACATTGGTCCATTTCAGGGACTGTGACTGGGTTGTGTAATTTATGAGAAAGTTGGATTTTTAGAACAATCTGAATAAAAAGGACAATATATCCTCTTAACACTAGTTGGCTATATAGAAGGAAAATCTATCCCCTAAGATACAGGTAGGTGGAACAACCAGGTTAGTGGTGACTGGATAGTGGGATAACCAGTTTAGTGGTGACTAGATAGTGGGATAACCAGTTAAGTGCTGACTGGATAGTGGGACTACAGATTAGTGGTGACTGGATAGTGGGATAAGCAGTTTAGTGGTGACTGGATAGTGGGATACCCCGGTTAAGGGGGGATTGGATAGAGGGATAATCAGTTTAGTGGTGACTGGATCGTGGGACAACCAGTTTAGTGGTGACTAGATAGTGGGACAACCAGTTAAGTGGTGACTGGATAGTGGGATAATCTGTTTAGTGGTGACTGGATAGTGGGATAACCAGTTAAGTGGTGACTGGATAGTGGGACTCCAGATTAGTGGTGACTGGATAGTGGGATAACCAGTTTAGTGACGACTGGAT